AAATCTGAGCTGTTTCAACAGAAAGAAACTTGCACTAACTGATCTTAAAACATGTCAGTGCCTTTGTTTTGTCTTAAGATGCACACCAGTAATGCTTTTTTATAAGGCATGTTTATAAAAATAACTTAAATGTCCTAAAGGAACTATGGCCTAATCCTGGTTTAGGCTAAGCCCTGTCTATGAAACCGGGCCATAATTAGGGACAGTAAGGTGATAATGACAAATAGCTGAGTATTAGAACAACTGTAAAGGGCTGTGCACTTAATCGAATAAACAATCAAGGTTATGATTAAGGCTGCTTTGATTAACTAAACATGAGACTGTTGATTGCACTATACCATTTAGGTCTGCCTAAATGAGGTTCCATCAAAATGTTCTAGTTACGTCATATTTTTTTTGCTTCAGTTGAGTTTTGTAACCAACTGCAGAGGTGTCTGTTGTGCACATGAATGTAAATAAGAGGTATTTAAGGTTTTCTTTATACCTGTCAATAACAATAAACACCTGATGAGATTTCAGCAATCTGATGCACAGATATAGATACACAAATATGTGTTTTATATTTCACTTCATTTTGCAGTAGCAGCTTTAGTGATTATAACATAATGGGAGCATTATAATGCTGCAAAGCATTCTATAAACAATTTATACAAAATATGATGAACAGTTTTGTCTTTCATGCTGCTAAGAATGTGAAGTTATTCAATGTCTTGGTTTCTATAGACGCATGAAACCACAATATATTATCTGAGAACACAGTATGTATAGCATACATAAAGAAAATGGTACACAGTTGCCAACCCGCCCCCCCCCCCCCAAAAAAAAAATATATCAATGTAAATTTTATTCATGAAAATTAAATAATTACAGTGTCAAAGGAAACAATCCACGGTTGTTTATATTTGATCCATAATCATGCAGCTCTAGATTATCTATTTTACCTCTACTTTAAATGCTACATCTGTTTATGAAATTAAATCTCACATCAGTTTAACAGATGTGACTTTATCAATCACAGAATTATGCAGATTTTTGTTTTTGCAAATCGAATGTTGCATTCTCCTTATCTGTCGAATGGTGATTTACCTTTCAAATTGCATCATCCCAATCTTTGATCATATGTCACATCTTGTATTCTCACTGCCTCTTCTTCATTCAATTTCCTCTCTCCGCATTTCCTTTGGGTACACTTGAATGCAATAATTCAAATGGAACAATTCCACTAGCACTTCTCCTGTCTCTTTATAGAGATGTTTCTGAGGTACAGCTCATTAATTAACACACTACCCTGCTCAATTTGTTCAGTAATTCAAACCAGGAAATGCAATGCCATTTAAGCATTTTCAGACTCTGAAACAAACGACAGCATCAAGATTGCAAACATAGGTTGCACACACTTTCATAATGTGTGCACGTGGGTGGGGGACTTTTTTTCTAATGCTTATTGTTGTCACTTTTTTTTTTTTTCTAAGAAAAAGCTGCATGGATTATTTCCTAGAGCAATTGCCCCACATGACAGATTATTTCAAAGGAAATTTGCATGCTTGTGGGGAATTTCTTATTTTCATCTCCAGCATCTTACATTGCCACACTCATTGATCAACAGATGTGTATCCTGTTACTGAGTTCAGCAACAGCAGTCGCCACTCCACTACACCCAGAGGTCTATTAGTGGGGCTGGGAGGAGGGATCGGGGTGGATTTTTGGTGTCATGTTGTAGTCCCATATGTGCCTTCTTTTTGACACAGTGCAGAGCCTATGTAGTGATGGGCATGATGTATTTGAATCTGTGACCTATCATATTGTCTGTCCCTGGGGGTACTGCAAGCACATAATCTGATGATGTTATTGAAATATATACATTAGACTGCCTGTGTCTAGAAAAAAAAAAAAGTAGTTGAGAGGAGCTCTTTGGTGTTTAATATGTTTGTAATGGATTGCCTTTCAGAGGCATTAGCTCATCCCTTTAAGTGGTATTCATATCTGTTTCCACAGGCCACAGCCACACCAAAAGGTGTTCAAACCTCTGAGCTTGAGTGAAACCCAATCTTCTGGCTTTTATAATCTGAGCCTTTCCGTTGAATGAGCATGATGATAAACGTCAGAAATGTAATGGAGCGGAGGAAACCTGCCTTGAAAGTAGAGTCTCAAAGATGTAATTTGCATCACAGAATGTGGCACACGATGAGTCACATTCTGGCTGAGGAATGCACTGGTCAGAAATGTCGTGAATGATATTTTGTTGCTCTTTGTGTAGACTTTTCTTTTGTCGTTGTAGTAGCGTAGCTTGGCACAGAGCATCGTCCCAGCTACTCTGAGCGCTCGAGAACTCTCTGGGCAATTGGAAGGGTAGACGACCCACCACCTTCAACCCCCATCCCCCATCCCCCATCTCCATTCAAATGTGTCTTCCAGAGGGTGCTGGATGAGGAAAGGAGGAGAGCTAATTCGTCAATAATCTTCCTACTAATCCCCCACTCTTTGCCTGAAGGCGCTCAAGCTATGCATCCCTCCCCCAAACCCAGCCCCCCTAACAAATACACTCTCCCTCACACAGACACATTCAGAGTCTGCCTCAACACGTCCAGTGGGAGAAGATGAATGTAATAGGGTAGTTTGTAGTCTGCCACGGTGGTGTCCTGGGAGGAGTGCTTTTGCACTGGCTGTGAATGAGAGCCAAAGAGTTTATTACAGTTTGGGGTGAGGTGTGGTGAGACAGGGCGGTGTCTAGGCTTTGTCTCGGGCTGTAAGAGGAGAACGGGATCTGCTAGGAGGAGTCACACTCAAACAGGAACTGCAGAGAATAGATGGAGTGAGCGAATGTTAGTGTGGACTCACTCCGATCATGCTGCAGGGCAGGAGGTGCCTTCGGAGCCTCCCAGCAGGCGCAAGTGATCAGTCTCTCTCAGATCTTTGAGCAGGTTCTGGATACAGTTGGATTACTACTGAGAGGATACTACTCATGTGCTTTCAAGTTTGGAGACTTTGAGCAGGTTTTCAAAGCTTGAACTGAGCTTGATCTGCAGCTATCAAATTTTGCTGCGGTTTGGCTTCAGCTGCATGGATACTTTTTTGTGTGTGTGTGTACCTGTGAAGTGATTCAAGTTGTGAAGTACCCCGTTTAAATGCAAAGCATTTGTGGAATATGGGACATTTTGTTGTTCAAGTGGATTTGCCATGGATCCTCTGTTCACTTCGACTTGTCATTATGATAAGTATGTTTTACTGTTCCACTTATTTGTGAGGGCAAGTTCTGTAGTTGAATAGAGTGCATGTGTGCCCTCAAAAACATAAGGCAGTCTCTTTTTATACAGTAACTCTACCATACAACTTGGGGGTTTTTATAGCTTTGAAAGATTTATACTTGTATTTTTATATTAGTCAACTTTGCTTTAAATATTACGGTCCGAGTGTCTCCATTTCTCTCCAGTACAGGGAGATTATGATTGGTGTATTGAAGTTTCTCAACAATCGATTGGGCATCTAGTCTTAGGTAGTTAATCTAAGGAGCCCAAGAGATAGAGATCAATGATGTCTTCTGTGTACAATATGTTATCGGACAAACCGTTGCATGCAAGTCGATATCTCACTCCAAATAGTGCGAATTTCTGTTAAAGATGACCTGCTCTGTCCTCTCTTTGAAGCCACTATATTCACTATTAGGGCTGCACGATAAATCGAAATGGAATCGAGATCGCGATTCGACAGAAGCTGCGATTGTCATGCCTATCTTTCAGTGAAGCACGGTTCTGTAGTATGACAGTATTTACACAACTATGAATAACTTGTCGGGCAACCCTTAGCCTCAATGACAGCCTGTAGTCTCTTGGGCATGCTGTCGTCCAGCTTCATGAAAACCTCAACTTTAGTTTTTTTTCCCAGACTCGGTCTGAATAATTTTTGGACCCAAATTTGTATCAATTGCCTAGATTCACTTTCGCCAGAAAGTAGTGTATGTATTTTAATCCAAATGATGCGTGTGCTAAGTGAGTGAACATCAAATATCACACAACAGAATTGCGCTCGCTCTCTATTTCTCTCTCTCACTCTCTCTCTCTCCCTACCGTTTAAGTAACTTGTGCATTGTTTTACTTACTTGTTTTTGACATATCCGACCAAACTACAAACTTTCCAGTGATGTCTGTGAGAAAGATATATTCACTCGACAAGCTCACGCATCTGCGCCGCCGCACGCTCAATCCACTCAGTGTGCTTTGTTTATCAGCTCGCGCACACCAGCTATACAGGCGTTAATACTGAATGTTTAACATTATATTCATTGCATACATATACTTCGTAGTAGACATCATTAACTCCTTTCTGCTGTCTGTTGTTCTGTTGTCGGTGTTTCTTTGTTTGAATATGGTGTTTATCACATGCTGTGTGGTATCGGCGTTTGGTATCGGGGCATTTTAAAGAGTACAAGTACGAGTACAGGAGACCAGTATCGGGCCCGATACCGATACCAGTATCGTTATCGGTGCATCCCTAAAAATTTGCTCATTATTTGAATTTATACAAATCCATCTAATCTGAAACCTCGCACTCTTGCATGCCATTAATCAGTGTCTATTGTCAGAGCCAGCTGATCTCCCGAGGCATGAAAGAGAGAACACGTATTCGCTTTCTTGCAAATTGGAGAATATTTACCTGCCACCAGCAGATGCAGAAAAGTTCTTGAATTCTTTTATTATGCAAAAATAAGCCCCAATAAAGCCAGCACATTGCTACCTGTAATTTTTTAGTTGTTTTCCATCAAGAGTCACTTGCAGCGCTGTAACTCAAGGGTCTTTCCCTGTAAAGCTGTATAAAGTTCCCACTTAAGTGCTCACTTAAGGGTTCAGTGTTGAGCAGGGTTCCTTGAACTTTAGAGTTCCTGAATTCTTGAATCTGCTCTACTGATTTTAAACCTATGTGCTAGCTGTTCCAATCCTTGGCTAACACTATCTATTGTCAGTGCATATTTAACAGTATTTTTTCTTGTTTTCTTGTCTTTGCAGTTGCTGGTAAAGTTTCTCCTACCAGTTCAGATGCCCTCTTCAGTGTTCCAGTTCCTAGTACCACCTCCAGCCCGCCAGAAGTTTACCTCCCTGCCAACTTTAAGCTCTCCAACACACAGTTGGCCTTCTTTCTCCAAGAGAACCGAGTTCAACCATATGGCAGCCAACGTGGACACCCTCTTCAGCGTTCAGAAAGCTTTGTGGTCTTCCAGACCAAGGAGCTGCCTGCAATCAATATCTCACTTGGACCTTTTACCCAAGACCAGACGTTGTCCAAGGACCTACTGCAGCCATCAAGTCCTTTGGACATTCCTGGAAGGCTGACAGTCAACTGGAAGGTCCGGGCTTTTATTGTACAGTCTAGAGTTTTTGCTAGTAACCCACTGGTTCAGGTGCTGTTCTATATCGCAGGACGGGACTGGGATGACTTCAAGATTCAGGACAAGCTTCCATGTGTGAGGCTGCATGCTTTTAGAGATGTTCGGGAGATCAAAACTTCCTGCAGGCTTCAAGGGAATCTGGCGCAGTGCTTGGCCCAACTGGATCTCCCTTCCACTTGGTTTAATGTTAATGTAGCACCATTGGGTCGCAGAAAGTCCTCAGGGACAGATGGGCTTGAGTTGAGTGGAGAGACCCTTCAAGTAGAGCTTTACTATACCCTCCATGATCCAGACAGCAATGATGAATGTGGGGAGAGCTACCCACGCCGGGGAGGGGCATCCAGAGGGGAGAGCTCATCCCAACAACCCCTTCTCCGTATTGGGAGCATCAGTTTGTACCAGCCCAGTCAGGAACAACTGGTGGTAGACAAACAGCTTGACAAGAACCTCTTTCTCAGGCTACCAGAAAGGCCATTAAAACCAGGAGAGACCCTCAACATCTACCTGCTCCTGGTCCCAAACTCTACTGTGGAGCAGTTTACACTAAAGTAAGTTATTTTCTTATTTCTTATCCACATATGCATGGGGTGTCCTAGAAGGGCTTATATGTAATAATAAGCAAATTCTTCTTATTAAGTATAAGCTATTGCATAGCTATTGCATACGCATTCCCATTTATGCATAGCAGTACGTATGCACCACGTCAGGATTTATTCCTGTGTCATTTATTGTCTCAATTTCTGCAAGCTCCAGAGAGTTGGAAAAAAAAATCTCATTGACTCAGATTCCTTACAAGGTGAAAACTGATTTCCAAGAGATGAGACACAAATCACAGAGGATCTAACTAAATCTCTAGTGGAGTGCCAGGCTTTAGGAGATTGTGAGAAGGATTCTGCTTTTCAAAGTAAAGACATAATGGGTATTAATTGACATCTGTTCAAATTAAATTTCTCATGAGCTTGACCCAGTTCTTGTCGAATTAGAGCCAAGGGGATATGAGGCATATTTCTCATCTGTGTGTTTTATTTTATTTCTCATTGTCAACAGAATAGGAGGGTTATGGTTCTTGTGTAGTAAAGCTATTCTTTAAATCCTTGAAGGCGGAGGAAAATTAGCCTTTTTTTCCTCAGATGAGAGAAATGGGAGGGGAGGTAGGATATTAGCTGCTCTTTGAGGCATGTCGAAGGAACGCTCCATAAACAGAGTCCCTCTAATTGTAATGGAAACTCACAGACTTCAATTTAGAAATTCACCATGAATTAATTAGGCTTCGATAACTCATTAACCCGAACAGAAGCAGGCAGAGCTGTGGTGTAGCCTTAGCAAGTATAGTTCATTAAGTTTTATCTGAAATAGTCTGAACTTTAGTCTGTGTGTCTACAGAGTGGACCCATTTTTTGTGAAGTCTGACAGTCATTATGGGCCAGAAGATGTTGCAGTGTGTGCAGTATTATATAGTTTTATGTAGGCTGTATTATTGTTAGACTTTATGGATTGCACCTGTACTGAAGAACAATAATGGGGAAAAAATGCATTGCGTTGTCATTTTTTTATGGCATTGTCTTGGTATACTGACACCTAGTGATGTGGATGCAGCATCACACTATGCCCTATTCGCTGTCAGATATGATTCACTTATTCAACAACCAAAAATTTCTCATAACAGGAAGCTTGTTGAAATTGTTCTTAAAATGTTCTTAACAAGAGTGTCTCAATATTGACAAATGTGGGAAAATCTAACAGTTTTTATTAGGCTCCTTTTTATATGAGTGTACATGATTTAAACAGATTTTTCAAAAGTGCCGTTCATTTGTTTGTGTTTTATCTCATTTTTAATGAGATAAAAAAATATTGACTGCACCTTTAAAAACAGCTCTCCTTTTGAAGACATATAAATCAATATTATATGTCATACAGCCTTTAAAAGAAAAGCCTGTTCAAATTACAGAGCAGATATGGGCATATCACAGTGATGTGTCCAGATAGTGACAGAGTTACTTTGCTGCTTGTCACTACGAGCATCATGATCCATTTCCTAAACCTAATCCTCTTAATGTTATGGCATATGTAGAGAATTATCCTTAGTTTGTAAGTGAAATCTGGAAGAGTTATCTTCATCCCGAGGCATTTTGGCAAAAAGGGCCATCAACCTGATTGATATTGTAAAGAAGCAGTTGCCTAATTTCTATTCCATGTCATGAGGGAATGATTTAATACCTTTTTGCCAACCTAATATCTTCAATGAAAGTTAATCTGCAGTAGTTTTTTAGTTTGCTTTGATATTAAATTCCAAACAGTAAATCTCTCTGACCTCATACTTTTATGCACTCGTATTGGAGTTTTTGTGGTCCAATATGGTGGCATTAATTCTCCAAGGAAAAGCTGAAGAGCAATAAAAGCTTGGGCAGAAAGAAAGGAGATGAAAGTCTGAAGTTGAGAGCTCTGAGCCGGTCAACTCAATGGGAGGTGAATTAAACTGTGCTGGGAGCCAAAAGTTGAGGGATACCAACAAAAAAGGATATTAAAGATGTAATAAAGGAACTCTTTAAATATGAATTAAGCTCAGCTGAAGTCGCCACCCACTTCACATTCCTTCCCACCATCAGGTTCCTTTCATTTTTCCTACAGTTTAAGACCTTCAACTGTTTTCATCTGTTATTTATAGAGATTGCATCTTAAAGTGATTAATCATGGAGAAATATTACATTTTGGATTGACAGTGTTGACCCGCTAGTCATCGCAGAGTAAGAATTACCAGCTCACCGTTGTAGAATGATCATGAAAAACAGTGTGTTGTACGTCTAACAACTGAGAAAAAATATTTGGGTCTGCCAGGGGGCTACTTCAGAGCTGTTGAGGCAATACAAGATTGTTGTGTGTATCTTATTAGCATTTAAATGTCTTTTAAATTAAATTGACTACATTAGTACATGTACAATCGGTTTCCAGCAATTCAGACAAACAGATGTTGTGAGGCGAAAACCAGTGGCAACATTCAATCATTTGCCTACCCAGGAGGTCATGAAACAATTCTAAATATATTGTTTTCAAGCTGAATGCAGAGCTGTTGAATTGTACAAATACAGAATAGTTGGCCTGTCACATTGTTCCTTGTTCCTTGGCCAGAGTAGTTATCAGAATATGGTTAGTTATTGTTTATTAATATTGGTGTGAAACCACAGACATGAATCATGTTCTGAAGAGCTGTTGCTATTATTTTTCTCTTCGGCTTGCATATGATAAAACTGTCAAAACAACCTCTTAAATATGCATTGAATGAGTCCATATTTAAGGACGAGAATATCTTAGAGACGAGAGATCTTTGGTGGACTCCATGGATTTGAGCCAGTAAGCAACAACCCTAAACTCCTTAGTAACCACTAAGCAGCAACAACCCAAAATAGCCTAGAAACTGCATAGCAACATTCTGAACACCTTAGCAAAGCCAAAGCATTGTGGCAGTGAGATTGCACTTTTTATTCAAAGTGTGTATGCTAAATCAAGTTTTGATCACTATTTGCATTAGTTTTTAACCTTTTTTTTTCAAGACATGAAAATAAATTGCATCCACATTTCACATAAAGATTTGGATAGCAAACAGTGGAGTAATAATGGAAAAACAACATGCGGTTTCTTTATCAACACTTCATTGCAACTAAATGGTTCAAAAGGATTGCCCAACTCATCCTTTGCATACATATACAACACTGTAAGGCCTGACATATGGAAGATAGTCAGAAAAATGTAAATGGAACAGGTTATTGAACCTTTAGACAAAATAAAATAAAAATAAAAAGTTGGTAAATTTTTTTCCCCCTTAAATGATACATCAGGCTTTTATGGCTCATGTAACATGACATACAAAATACATAGTTCATATTCGAAGAGGGAAAAAATAACTCTTCAGAGGCCCAAAAAGAGCAAAAATATGCAATTTGCTGATATTTAAATGGCCAAAAAGTAAGGCCAGTCAGATCTGTATAACAGTATAACAGAATACTTGCATAAAATGCATATAATAACATGTTTTAGTAAGATGTTATTTCAGTGATGTTATTGTGGGGTGTAAAACATGTAATGCAATGCAATACAATGATGATTGAGAGATGTACAGATATATGTTCCTCAAAAGTCTGATGTATTATTTTTGATACTTACATTTATCATGTTTTTTATATATAATCAAGTAAACCTAAATTGCTTCAATCTAGTAAGTGTTCATCTTGAAATACATACTAAACATAATACATACTTATACTTAAAGGCCGTTTGCTTGCTAAAAAGTATAAACTATCAATCAGACAATACAAGGCATGTTGTAAATAGTGTACAACAGGTTTTGTAGCAAAGTTTTGATCACATAAATTTGCATATCAAATAAGATACAGTAGGCTTTATTGGGTTAATGAATTCTGTTATTATATGGCGCTTTTCCACTGCGTGGTACAGCTCAGTACGGCACGGCACAGCATGGCACGGCACGGTTTGCATTTCCACTGCAGTTCAGTACCGCTTTAGAGTGGGCGGGATTATTCACATGTCGTTATAGTTGCGCCGCCTCTCAAAAAGTGAACCGTACCGAGCCGTATCATGCCGTACCATGCAGTGGAAAAGCGCCAATAGTCATTTGATCATGGCAGTATGCTGAGGATGAAACAATGTTTTCTGCATATCTTTGTCATTGTTATCTTACCTCTTAGAGATTTCATAAATTCTATTCAAGAACTGGCATCCAGTGTCTGAATATGCCAGAAATGATGGAGATGTTAACATTTGTGTATCACAGCAACCTAATGAGAGGAGAGTGACCGCATGTTTCAGCTACAGCTCACATCCATCTATGACAAGATAAACGATATATGAGAGGACAGTAACTTTTAAAGGTATACAAGCATGCCATTAGAGACAACAGAACGGCTGCAAGACACAAAACAATCCATGAGTTATCATGATGTTTGTAGCAGAGGGTGAAGGTTATGAAAGCACATATATTCCAATTACTCAGAGGAAGGTTTAGTCCTCTCAAAAAACTACATTGCCTGAAGGTCGTGTATCATCACCCCTGTGTTCTATAGCTCATTGTGTTCAGTGAGCCCTATTCTCCCCACGCTTCTTGTGTCATTGCTGTCGCCACGTTTGATTGGGTGACTCAACGAGGTGTCACCTCAACGCTGCTATGCTCTGCTGGTCAGCCACATCTGGACTCGTCACACTCACTCTCGTCAACGAAGCAATGCACCCACAATGCCCCATTCCAAGACCCACTGACATTGCCCACTGCTGACCGCACCCATTGTCTCACATTTTTATAGCCATCACTTTGTTTTTTACTTCTGCCATAAAAGAGTTTAATTAAATGCACCACCTGTGCGAGCATTCACCTCAAGCTTTTGGTTATTTGTGCCTTATAAGGAAACGTTTAACAACAGAAAATTAGCATTGGGGAAGCGACTTTGCTTCACATAATTGAAAGTGGTTAAGCAACAGGCAAGTGGTTGGCTACATTTACAAGCTGTTAACCACTACATTGCAGCTGTTTAAACAAGCA